AGACGCGCCGTCGACGACGAGCGTCACATTTTCAATTCCTCCCACCTCCTACACAGATACGCGCGCACACACACACGCGCACACACAAGCAGGCAGAGGAAGTTAAAAAGCATGGTGACAACGATTAGACTCTTACAAGCACAGCCATCCGGTGCTGCGCCTCCTTCTGATTTACGCACGCAAAGTTGGAGACGAGCACCCTCGAGCTGAAAAAATACTGCACCTCGTGTCGCCGGAAACTGGTGGTGCGTTGAAGGACACCTGAGAACTTGCCCACGCTCGGACAAAAGCACACTGAGTCGTAGCTAAGAGAGAAGGTGCCATCTGGAATGCGAAGAAGCTGACTTCCTGGCTGTTTTTACGCATCATTAATGCTGGTTGTTTGTTGCTTGGGTGGGGGAGACGTTTCCAATAACGGTCACACAACAGACAACACGCACAGAGAATCGTTTAAGTTTTTTCAGTTGGTCCGCATCACGCCGCGCGCGTCCGTGCCAACGCCGCCGCCGCCGCCGCCACATGGAAATAAAGGCCAGATTGTTCGTGACAAAGTGGCAGCAGCTCGTCAGTGGCGCCCTGACAACGCACCGGGAGTCGCTGGGAAATGAGCGCGCTTTTGTCTGGGGCACGGAAGCCCATCTGCGGCACCGGCTCCCGCAGTGCCAGCTTGCTCTAACATTTGGAGGGGGGGGGGGGGGGGGGGGGGGTAGGGAGTGTTTTGTGGAGGAGATGACAGCCAACTTTTTGGACTTTAACAAAGTATAGCCAACCCCTCCGCCTCCAAACATCCATCCCACACCAGCCTCACTTCCTAGTCAATGTTGTTATTTGTAAACACAAACCCGCGTTATTGGCACCTACCAGAGCAGATCCGAGCAGAGGAGGGGTGAGGAGGGGGGGCTCCCACAGTCCGAGCGTTTCGTCTCTCAGCCTTGTCGTGCGCAATGGTGACAAAAAAACACCCAAAAGCGGGAAGGAAAGACACGCGTCGCCCCCTCCTCCTCCTTCCACAAGTAGCCTACAGCAGCGTGTCCGTGTGCGCGGAACCACCCACGGGAGAAATAAGCCAACATTCACCGTCAGTTGTTGGGCAAAGGCGGACTTTCCGTGGGGCTCGGGCGCGTGGGTTCCCCCCCAGCCAGCCAGCCTTCTCCGGTCCTCGCGATCCCACCTCTACAATCCCACTCGCCCAGAGGAACATGCAAACACGTTTCATAGATTTTTGGAGGTTAGCGGAAATCCCGAAGTGGATTTTTGACGCGGCGCGACACAGGACACCGACTTGCGGTCATTGCAGCAGCTTTGAAAAATGACCACTAAAATTCAAATATTTGTTAACACATGGTCCACATTACTATGGACTAAGGTACATATAGATAGATTCGCATGAATAGAGAGTATTACAAGTGTTGTGATGAAGTAACATACAAATTGAAAATACCCTTTGTAATTAAAATATAAGATTTACAGGTAGAGTTAAATGGCTCGATGGATAAACAAGCAATAGTCAACACTGCTTGGAAATGTAGCCACATTTGAAATCAATAGTAGACATACACAAATTTACGCTCCAAGTAGAAAGAACTGTCAAGTATTTTTGTAATCAAGTTCCCAACTCAAGTGTGCATCGTTTCCTTAAAGAGTGAATGAGTGAACTGACTTCAGCCATCAATACGCTCCAGAAATCCAGTCCCCACACCCAGAGCTTCCGTCTTTCTCTGGCAGCCTCTCGCCGGAGAGTCCAGTCCGCCTCTTCGGACCGTCCCGGACGCTTGGCAGGCGTTCAGCCCAAGTGTGTGGACATGACACCGCCAGGGCGGCAGAGATTTTCCTTCGTTTCTCTCCTTCCCGATCGCAGACTGGCTGACATTGGCTAGAAAGTGGAGCAGCTCGTCAGGGACAATCAATGAGAATCGATCGAGCCGCGCGATGGAGGCTCCAGTGCTGGAACATAGCGGTTGAGGGAGAGAGGGAGGGAGGGGGGGGGTGTTCTCGGCAGGGTGGGGGACGGGGGGGATACCAACCGTGACAGTGGCCAACCACCCTCCCTGCAAACAAATATTCTCTGTGGCTCGTAAACATGACACTCACTTGGCAAATACTAAAGTCAAAGGCCACCGAGTGCGTAATTACGCGCAGGCGTCGCTTTCCAAAGGCGCACACAATAAATGCAGTCTCACCGCCTAACGGGTTCAACGTGTTAGTGAGTGTACAGTGATTAAAATCATTAATGTACAGTCTCAGTTCCAATTTGATACAAATGAACTCTTTCACAATTTGCCAACTTATTTCCCATGTAATAATTACATTACCAATATTTACCACTGTTCATTATTAACATGAGAACACCATATGAGTATGAACCAGTGAAATCCAACGCAAACTCTTTCAAGAATAATAATTCTCATTTTTGATTGACACTGTCAGAGATGTACAATATTATTGTTTATTACAGTTTGCAATGGCGCACAACTAAACCAGTTGCATTTTTAATTCTATTTATCACCTACCACTACTAACTAATCCTTAACTACTCCAGATATAATCCCAAACACTTCCAAAGCACTTGAGTGTTCCGTGAAAGATCGTGAAAATTCTTTACAACAAATAATCCACAGGCCTATTTAGTCAGCTATCTATGCCAGAACGTAGTGTGAAAGGCAGAACAATAAAATGCTCCTCCACCAGATGGCAGAAGGTACATAATGAACACATGTAACTACTTTTTTTGACATTTTTGTTAAGTGGTGTGACTTTTTTGTCCAGGGATTCACTTCATGATGATGCAAATATAGAAACTGCACATTAACATGTCAGGTGGTTGCAGGAAATAATAACTAGTTCCAGATACAGTTTTTTTTTATAAGTACTGTATACTTTACATCTGCTACTTAATAAAATCCTGTGGATCCAGGTGCATTTTATTTTGTGCACTCAGTTGCCAAAATCGAATTGAATAAATTCACCACTTCATCATTTTCAGTGTAGTCAGTTTCTTTGAATTTCAGATCAACATTATCTCCTCGCAGAATCCACATGCAATTTGTAATATGTGTCCTTCATTTTGACTTTCCCAAGTCCTTTATCCGAGCTAAGGAAAAGAGGAATATGACATTGTTAAGGCAAAAAGAAAAAGACGAGTCATGCGTTGACGGGTAAGAGCAGCTAGCTGTGACTCTTGGACGTGCTGTGGTGGGTGCAGTGAACCCCGCAGGCTGCAGCCACACTCGGCTCTTTGTTGTTTTGGTTGTGCGCAGCGAGGCACGGTACTTTCCTGAGCCGGGGAGGCAAGATCACTGTTGCGTGGCCTCCATCCCCAGCTGCACACATGACCGGCGCCGTAGGAAAGCCCCTGACCGCGGCTCTGGGGAGGTCTATCAGGGACGGAGGGAGCGGAGAATGTTGTAGACCGTGTTAACTGCATGTAAACATTTCAGAGAACTTAGCTTTGTGTTTTGTTGTTTAATTCTAATGCGCAACATCTCTCAGGTTTCCATTGTTGTTCCTTTCATTTCTTATCCTCTAACTTTCAACATTTATGACCTCTGACCTACCGACATTCCTGTGCCTTTGGCCCTCAGGCCCTTTCCATCATAAGCGGGTTCCCATTTAATGTAGGGCTATGAGATATTCAATCTAAAATCCAAGCAGTATAATTATACTGTAGAGTATATACATTAACAGAGAGGGCACATCGTCTGTGTGTGAACATTTCACAGCAAAATGAACTTTTTTTTTTTAAATAGACCTGCGAATAACAATTGAAAAAAACCTGTCATATGCACGCCAGGCCAGTAGTTGGCGATCACTATTTTTTAAAAGAAACCCTATGCGCAAAACTTTCATTGTCATAACCATAATGTGCTTGTAAATTAACATTTCTAAGGTAGTGTGACTTGAGAGAACATATCAGAAAAAATAGTCAATGTACATTTTGCTGGAAAAAGCAAGTCAGTTATATATATGTAAAAAAGCTTTTTAGGGTCAAATGTATGACGTGAGTTCATGGCAACACTGGTAGCCTTCATCATATGATGTTGGAAGTGGCCCACTTAGTGCACCATTAACTCCAACCGCTTTGCCAATGCACCATGCCAGTAACAACAGCATCCACAAACGCTGCTGCCAGTCATTCAGAAAATACTTTTATGACCTTTTTAGAATCATTTTAGGTAGTTATTGACACTCGCTAGTCGGTCATTAGTGGCACATTTTGGTTGTATTGAAAAGTATGACGCATGCAGTCAAAATGCTGATTTGGACATAAGACATACTGCAACTTGGTCACACGCTGCTTTCTCCGGTACCTTCATTCAGATTTATCAGTCCAGGATGATATTGGCACCCTCAAGGACGCACCGCAAGCACCCGGGAAGTATGATTCGATGCCATCAAAAGCTCTGAAGAATGCACTGCTAATAACAAGGACGATTGTCTGGAATGATGACGCCAAATTGCAAAACTCGCCTGTCACGAAAAGGCACCAGATTAGGCCCAAATGTGTTCACAGTGGCACTAAAAGAGCGACGGCGCCATCTAGTGGCAGGTTTTGACAACAGCCATTTTCACTTTGGGCTGACTGTTGACCCTGAATGTCTAGACCGCAAGTGTACGGAGACTTCTTTCATAATCGTTTCACTTCTCTTTTGTAAGGAAACCATTTCCCCTCCCTTGTATCTAAAACTTCCACACAGACAGCCGGAGTTTCAAATAAATCTGTTGAACCTTTCACTTCCGAATCCTGGAGTGCAGATGTGATAGAGCCACTCTTACTCATTTAGATTTGGCGTAACAATTTGTAACTGTGCATTTTAAGTAAGAAAATCATAATACTGATGTCATTGGAATATTTGTTAAGAAAAATTCGACAAAATTATGACTTGAATGGGGGAGGCGGGGGGGGGGTTCCGTTATCTTATTCCATAGGTTACAAAACTCAAGCAAGTATCTTCAACAAAAAGTAAAAGTGTTTTCAACAATAAGGAAAAGAGGATGGCTCTTGGTACTGGCTCTGTCTTCAAAATCAAAGACCAAGTCTGAAACTTCCGTGTGCTTTGGATCTGACTTTCAGCAGTCATATCAAATCAATCAGTAAAACAACTTTTTACCATCTGAAAAACATATTCACGGTGAAGGTTTAGCATATGTAGCATGTGTTCTACAAACTTGGGTCAATTAGTAGAGTCCAGGATCCTGTCCCAGTACAGCGTTGTTTGTATGGGAGCCTCGCGTGGTCACATGTGGGAATTGCAACGCTTTTTCAAACGGAGGAATAAATGGCTGTCAAGACTCGTTTACCAACTGCAGTCCAAACGACGGCATCCTCCATCCTTTCAATTATATTTGCGTCAAATACATTTCAGTATTTACATCTCGTCTACAGTATGTTTAAAACGTCGATGTCGTGAGATAACTCATCGCTCGTTTATAAACAAAGTCACGTGATGCCCGCGTATGTCTTGAACGTCTCGCGTTTTATCGCGAACATAGAATGTTTACAAAAATATTGCACGAAATTTCGAAGGGATGGGTGCAGCCACCTTCATATTTAACCCGCATTTGCGTGTGCTTATTTTCACGCATAGCGAGAATATCCCCGATATCGACCACGGTGTGCGGTATGTGTGCTCGTGCGCGGGGGCAGCCCCTTCAGAAGGCATGCATCAGGCAGGCGGTCTGCTGAAAAATTTGCGTGGGAGTTCCCTTCAAAGCCCCCTCCCTCTTCCTCCCTGGCGGTCTCTCCCTCCCTCTCCCGTGCATCCTCCCCCACAGCAGCAGCAGCAGCTTAGCCCCGCATCCTGCTTTCTCCAGCATCCAGCATCCACCCGAGCCTGGGAAAGAAGCAGCATCAAGTCCTACCCTGGCACAGCCGCTCCGACCCACGGAGGAGGAAGAGGAGGCGAAAGAGGAGGAGGGGGGACTCATCCTCACCATCCGAGTGATGCCACAGCATCAATTGCATTCGGAGCAGCAGCGCTGAGAGTTGATCTTGTATTTCAGCGCGTTCGGGAAAGAGGGAAGCGTTTCCAGACAGCCGCAAACTGCCCATGAAGATGTCCAACGCTGACATCGTCCTAAACGCCGCCGATCGGGTGGTGAAATGTGAGTAGGAAGCCCCCCACAAAAAAAAAAGCCATCATTTTGTCTCGAGATATTACATAACATCTTGGCTTTTCGCTTCTTGTGCCATGGCGTGAACGTGGCCTCTATTTTTTTCCCTCCCTATCCACGTAGTCGTGCATCCGTGGTGCATTCGCGGCCGTCAAGTTGCCTGCTTTTTTTTTTTTTTTTTTTGATGTTGACAAACAATCCTATTTTCTAGCCAGCCTACACGAACTCCAACGGGCACGGCTGCGTAGGGTGATATGGGTGTATAAATTTTAAAAACGCAATCATGTATTTTTTATGTTTGTTCTCAGCTGTCATCATTTGAATGTGTCTTAGCTCTGTGGCCGGGAGG